TTTGTGGCGTGTGATCTTGTTTATATTTATTTTGTGATTTATCATATTTACTTATGTTCATTAATATCTATAGGAGCACAATTCATTAAAAAAAAAAAGTAATATGCTTTTTGAAATGTTCTAATATTTAGAGTGAAATTTACGTGAAATTATTCTGTGCGGATACAGAAGCCGTCCAGAGGCGAATCAAAACTCATCATGTCATCCGTTTGTTGTCTACCGCTGTTGTGCACCGAGTGACATGACGTATTCTGATTCGTCTCCAAACTGTATCTGTATACGCATCTAAATTTACACACATAAACACATCCATATACAACAGTAGATCTTAACCTTGCAAAGAAAAAGCTGCACCTTGCGAACGTGACAATTAAACATTACCATTAAAAAAAAGCATATAGTCAACTTATGTTACCCCTAAATTAAAAATAAAAAATAAAAATCTGATAGATATTCATTTACAACACATGATGATTTTGGATATTCATTATTATTATTATTATTATTATTGCTTTGTTAATGATAAGTGCTAACCCACTTCTATTGCGATATCAAAGGTTATTTTCTCTCAAAGAATCAGTAAACTATATTGTGACAAATTAGAGGTAGGGTTTGGATTCTTTATTATTATAATTTTTTAGGGTTTGTGTGGGGCAGCTTTTTTGTTGCTTTATTTTATTTAATTAATTATTTTTATATTATTTTTGAAGTATTTTAAAAATTTTCAATAATGTAGAGTTGTTTTTTTTAAGATCTATCAAATAAACTTTTTTGTTTTCTTTCTTTCTTTTGGAGAGTCACTTTAAAAATCTAATATTTCAAAAGTTATCTATTCAATAAGGAGACTGATTTGGAAAATAATATAATAATAATAATAATAAAATGAATAGAGTGGTTCGGTTGGATGCTTGGTGATTTTGCTTCTTTAATCTTTCCTTCTATTGCAGGTATTCTTGAAGTTTTCTTTGTGGCTCCTCCTCGTGCTGGTTGGTGGTTTGTTCGTCCATCTCCCTAACTATGGCTCCTCCTCCTGCTAGTTGTTGATTATTTATTTTATCAGTCCTTAGGGTTGATTTTTTTTTTTTATTCATTTTGCTTGTTTTTTTGTGTTTATTTATAATAGATAGAACTAATAGTTCTTAGGTTTTATTACAAAGACTGTATTATTAGCTGAGTTTATGGTTCTTCAAGGACCTGTAATTTCCTTTTTAATTAATGCGTAGGCCCCTCCGTAAATTTTAACCAAAACAGTTTGAATATTTTTTTTTTTTTTTTTGATGAGACTGATTTCAGTAAGAGCTGATTTTAGTTAGGCTTATTCAGTGTAAACTAATAGCTAAATAAGGAGTACTGTAGTTCTATTTCATGAATTTGAACAATTCTACAGGTGACAGAGGCAGAAGATATACTCAACTGCACAAAATTATACCTGTAAGAGATCTAATTGTTTGAATCCAAATAAAAAATACACAAATTTAATGTTAATTGGCCATGGAACTTATTTTTTAACGAGGCTTGCTGGTCATATTTTTTACTGCTTTTTCTCATAAAAAGTAAACTTGGCTCAATCAATTTTAGGATCCATTTGAGACATTTTTCCTACTATTTTGTTTTTCAGACAATAACTACAATTTGTTTGACACTTACCTTTCTCATTGATTGTTCAAGAAATTTTGTTGCCAAGAAAAGTTGATTTTTTCAACCAGAATTGCTAAGTTATTTTTCTCATCATAAATTTACAACAAACTTAAAAAAATACTGAACCGTTCTAAATTGGAGAAATTATTTTGTGCGGATACCAGACAGTCCGAAGACCAATCAGAACGCGTCATATCACCCGATACCCAGCACCGATACCGAGCAAAAAATTGATGTGGTGCATTCTAGTTGGCCTCTAGATGGCGTCCGACGTCCGCATAGAATAATTTATCCCCAAACAGACCCTTAAAATACATTGATTGATTTTCTACAAGAGAGGTCACAAGTTTAGAACTTCAATTAGATCTAGTTAATCTTATTTACACTAATTTGATTCATAATAATAGTATAATTATCAATCATAATTAATAATAATAATCATTTAAAATAATTACTTTATGTGGCCCAACTACACCAAATTATAAAAGTTGACTTTCCATGCACCATGATTGATGGCAGAAATGTTGGTGAACATGTTGACATGAAAGGCATGACTTAGACAACTTGTATTTATTATAATTGAATAATATTAGTTTAAGAGGATGACCAAATGCAGGAAACCATTTCACGTAGATTTAAGTTCAGTACTGCCTCATTTCATGAGGCTCAATTAATGATATACACAGCAATGAAAGGGAAATAAACAGCTTTCCTTGGACAATTAAAGTTTTGTTTGGGACAGTTTTCTTCTTGCTTCTTAAAGTAATTTTTTAGTACAAAAATTAAAATTTTTGTGCTATAAAACTGCTTTCAGAAGCATTAAGAAAGTCGTCCCAAACAAAGCCTAAGAGCTGACAATGATCTACTTTGGAGAGATTATAATGTGTGAAATTTTGCGACTGTGAATAGTAAAAGCACAATTTTTGTTCACCCATATACTTTTACTGTTCAATTTTATATTTTTTTTATTTCAGTATAAAATTATTTATATTAAAATAGTCTGAAGTAATTTTTATGCAACCATTAAAGAGCTCAAATTTCTAGGATTTCTAGGCAGGTCTGATTCTAAATAGAAATGGGGGTCTGGCTTAATTGACAAAGCTAGACCTGGGAATCTCACAAATCCACCTTCAAAAAGCATTCAAGAATGGTTGCTTGGAGGAGCTTAGAACTCCTAATCATTGGTAAGTCAAGTATGCCAAACATTGGCCTTGCATTTAGTCATTTCTCCCAATCTATCAACATACACACTTTATTTTGTACGGATACCGGACGGGAGAACCATCCGGTTAAGCACTGAGTATCCAACGGTATCGAGTGTGGGTACCGAGCTAGGTACCCACCAATGAGATTATGTGACGTATTTTTATTGATCTCTGGACGCCCTCCGCACTTGGGGACATGACTCAACAAGATCCATCAAATGATCTACTTTAAAAAATAATTTCAGCTCACTTTGATGTGTTGGTTAGAACTTCACTTTGATCTTAATAGCTCAAAAAAAAAAAAAAAAAATCCATGTCAAGTAAAATACATAAAAAAACATATGTATAAAAGGAGAAATTATTCCGTGAAAAGTTCAGATGAGAAAGATGTGTCCAGAGTGTGAGTTTACACACTATGTACATAATTTGAACCGAAAAATTGTACACACTATTTGTAAACAGTTTATACACTTACAATCGAACGCAACTTTTCCATCTGGAGGGACGGAATAACTTCCAATAGAAAAGACAGCGGAAACATAAAAAGTTGCTCAACTTCAAAGAAAGAAAGATTTGAATTATCAAAAGAAAGAAAAATCCTCGCATTTCATCATCAGGCAAACATTAAATAGCAGGAATATTATAATAAGAACGATTCATTACATTTTTTGATCCAGTTTGATCTCCGTTATCAAACTGGATCAAAAAAATGGTTGAGGTTGGAAAATCATAACAAAAGCAACTAGTTTAATATTAAGATTTGTTTGAAACAATTTTCTTATTGCTTTCTAAAACAATTTTTTAGTACAAAAATTTTTTACTTGAAAACTACATAAAAAAATAGTAAAAAAACTATCCGAAACGAAGCCTTAAGCTAATCATAACAAATGCGGTTTTCTGAGTTTTGATAAACATCGGCTTAAGAAACATTCAATATAAAATTAGAGGCATGAACATGATTTCAAGCTAGAACATATAAAACTATGAAGCCTAAATAAATATTAGTAAATATTTACAAGAAATACAATGGATGAGTATGGTTCACAGCTTGTCACCGATTTGAGGAAGGTATTATAATGTCTTTGATCATTGAAGGCGAGATGCTAACTTTTGACCTGAAAGATTGTGCAGTTTCAAGAGAGCGAGAAGTCTGGAGGGCCATTTCAGAATGGAGCTGAAGACATCTCATAGCCATCTAAAAACAAAGCCATGAAACGAATATGTCAATCAAATATAGATTAAAAGTTCAAGTAAATAGGGTTTGCAACATGCCCACCCCTAAACATTAAAAAGCAAACATATACATGCATTTTAATTTTTTTTGTTGTTTGGTTTGACACGGAGCAAAGTGAATGAAATTGCACGGTATTCCAAACTCCTTACCGCAGTTCATTTTGCGTTTAAAGGAAAACCGCTCAAATTCGAGCGAAAAAGGAATACACGAAATGTTGGGGAGAGAAATTCAACTCCTTCGACGATGACGACTTAGCCCCTTCAACGGCGTGTTTCCTTTCTGTTGGACTTCGCTCCTTCAACGACGTTCCTTGATCGAGTTCGCCCCTTCGACGACATTGCCTTCCTGTTGGACTTCGCTCCTTCGACAGTGTTGCCTTCCTATTGGACTTCGCCCCTTCGACAACGTTGCCTTCCTGTTGGACTACTTCCCTTCGACGGTTTTGCCTTCATGTTGGACTAGGCTCCTTCGATGACGACATTCCCTGTTTGCATGCTTCTTCACCTCTTTGACATCACAGAGAATATCCACTTGGGATGCGGAACCTCTACCCTTCACCTCCGGATGACCTGATTGAAGCGACTCCAACCAAATAGCTAGTGTCAAGACCCGGCCCGAATACTCGATCTAATGAGGCGGGTACGAAAAGTCAGACGATAAAATTCATTAAACATAATACTACAACATTCCTGATAAAGAGCCACTAAAACACAAAATATATATTACCTGTTGTCATTTGCGCCTCGTCTTCTGTAAACATGTTCTTCTCTTTCAGCCATTATTTCTTTAGGAACTTACCTGAAACAATTAAACTTGTAGTTTGAGTTTACTAAGTAAACTCAGTGGGAATTATATAATAATCATCATAATTATTCTTTATTAGGCATCGTTATTTCTTTACATTACTTCATTCTTTTTAATACTTTATACATCTCTGAATAATTTCTTTCAAAAATAATATAAAACATTTTGTAGCTTTAATGTTTCATTCATATTTCTTTTCTTTCCATTTACTTTGTACAGGAGCACCATCTCATAGTACCCGAAGGTACAACCTTTTCCATTTGATTTTCTTTTTCCATTTCCATAATCTTTTTCCATTTCCATAGCATTTTCCTTTTCCATTTTCGTGCACGAGTACGACTGTCCCCAGCCAGTACCATAAGGGGGTGAACTCTTGAAATATTCATATATATCATTTCTTTTACATTTACCATAACATTTCTATTCAATTTCGTATGTCATTTCTTTTTAATATTTCTTTAATATATATGGTATTTTCTTTTCATTCATATTTATTCAATTCATTTATTTCTTATTGTAATAATGATTACAATTACTTAAGCATTAAATCTTTCAACATTTCATACATTGTAGTCTTTAAATTAAAACTTTGAAAACAGAAGAATAATGCTAAAAATTAAATTCCATAGTTATAATTACCCACTTTGAACTTTTCAGGCCTTCGATGCTTGATCTTCTCTTGAATCAATTTCTCTTCTTCCTGTTGAATTCTCGCAGGATCAGCGCATACAACTTGATCTTTCACTCTCTAAAACCCTAAAATTCGAACAGTAACTTTCATGTAAAACTTAAAATTATAATCCCATAATAAACTTATATAAAAAGAATTTCACTTACGAATGAGAATTTCTCAAACTCTCAAATTCCCTTCTCCCACAAATTCCTTTTTCTTCGCTACAATCTCTTCCCTAACTTTCAAGAAATATATCGCTCACTTTAAACGAAGTAGGATGAAGAAATTTATAGGAAAAATCCAAAAGAAATTCAACAAACCTTTTCCTTATTTTTTTCTCGATCGTTTCTTCCCTCTCGATGCAAATTCTCCCAAACTAGCACTTCTTTAACTGTGAGAAAGAAAAGGAATGATCGATTCTTATAATCGAAGAAAATTATTCGCTAAAATTGGAAAAATGAAACTTACTTCGCTCTCTCACGAAGCCTCGGTCGTCCGCCAGTTTCGCTCCCTCGTGCCGTTCGCGAAAAACAACGACCCTGGATGGGTCGCGATGTCTAATATTAGACGGGTGGACGGTTCGGTTGAACCGGCCACCAACCGGTTCATAACAGCTGGAACCGCAAGGTATGCCATGCAGGAACCTAGAGCTGCAGGATGGCCGGACCACCTTGTGCGGGAACATGGAGCCGCAAGGTGTGTCTTCTTTGTTCAATCAATTGAAGGACTTTAATATAACAAATAAATTCATTTTGGGAATAGGCACACCAAGTGTTCGATCAAATGTCTCATTCAAACGGGCCAATAGTTTTATTTTACTTTGCATACACCCAACCAAACAGAAAAAACAGTTCCCCTGCATTCACTTTACAAAAAACCAAATAGCATCAACTATTTACTTTACACTGCATTCACATTACAGCCAACCAAACAACCCCCTAATAATAAACAATAAATAAACGGAATTGATATGGAAGATTTCTTTTTAAAATCTCTTCGCCGCTCTTCTCCCACGCTCTTCCTACCTGATTTTTCCTTTCTCACAAGTAGGCGAATCACCTCCTCCTTTCCCTTCACTCTCCATCTCGGCCTCTCCCTTAGCCACTTACTCCTCTCGATTGTTTATAATCCTTTGTGGCGACGAAGGAAATGTGAGGAGAGTTTGAGCCACTATGTGCAACTTATTCGCATAAGTTTGATGCAATGAGGAGCACATTTTTCAGTAGCTTTTAAGTGATCTTGTAAACAAAAAACATGAAAGCAAATATTCAGATAAAAAATATTCTCACACGAGTTTTGAAAAATTAATCAACAATAAGAACATGAATATGAGCAAAGTAACAAATCTAAATGAACAAAAAACATTGCACGTATTTGATAAAACTGTCATTGTTAACAAAAGGCCAAAACTTTAAACTAGAGAGAACCATAAAAGAGCATGCAAATTATGTAAGCGTGCAGTGCATGTCTTTTGATGCTAAGTAACAAATAAAAATTTAAATGTTCTGAAAGATGTGCGAACTAAGATTACAAATTGATTCCTAAATCTCAGAATTATTCAAGTGTTCAATTTACTCCCTCAACTAACAAAATCTAAATAAAATTGTTTCTATAGTCAAATTTGTCAAATCTTTGGACATGAATTGGTGGAGAAAAAATTTCCATGAGATTAACCCTAAAAAGCCTCGTGGGAAGTTCTCCCTCCAATTTTAGTCCAAAACAAAATGACAAAGTTGACAGAGCACCGAATTCCATCAAATTTGATGTGTTGAGGGACCAAATTAAAGACTAGAAAAAAAAACTATAAACAAAATGGACACATCTTATGGACCAATTTGATCATTTACATAATATATAAGCTGTCTGCAATGCAAATATTGTTTGATACCATTTAACTTACAGAAGAATAGATACATATAAATATAAGAGGTACAATATGGAAATGTTGAATAAACAAAAGAACCAAAAATTGCAATTTCATAGTTCACATGTCCATGTACTTACAGTTGCGCACTCGGTATCTGGGTCAGATTCAGCAATCTTAAGAGCCCATATGCGGATCCACTCCAGCCCATTAGAAATTTCATCATTGCCTTCAATCAAAGCAGATGCCACATACGATGGATGCAGAGCTTTTAAAATGCTCGAGGCTGCAAAAAGGGCAGAACTTCTAACATATGCTTCTGCGTGATGAGCTACATGCCTGTCAACGGAAAGGAACACAGCGCATAGAAGATAGTGCCAAATATCACATTTAATTTTATTATTATTCTTATAATTATTTGCAAAAAAATAGGGGCATAAAACAAATATTATTTGCAAAAATAGGGGCATAAATGTCACGACCCGGCCGCTGAGCTCCCATAGACAAGACGGGAACGGATGTCGGACTTAAATATTAGAACATAGCATTTCAAAATTTTTAAAACATGAAATATATGAATCTAAAACAACTCAAAGAATAATTAGTGCCTCTATAAACAACTTCCAATCTTATAATAAAACAAATATCAATCAGTTAAATAAACTTATAGCTTAGGTATTACCTAGACCTTAACATGTCAAGAAGGTGGGAAGCCAAGGCCGATGCTTCTGGATGCATAGCAATGCAATTCATACACACACCAAGCATGTGAATCAGTTTTCCTAGAACAATGAAGTCCCTGTTCAGTAAGTCAAGGCCATGCCTCCTTTTGTCATATCCTTGTATTGCAGGCAGCATAAAAGCAGCAGCATACAAAGGAAATTTGTTCTTTGTGTGGTCTGGTTGGGATTCTCTTGTTTTCCCAAGACTCCATCTCCGTGATTTCCCTTTCTTGACTTGCCCTGGTCTGGAGGGAAGTACTCTCTCATATCTGTGAGACCAACTTAGCACTCCGACTTCCTCAACCTCCTTCCATGGACCTGCTCCATGAGGTCCAATACGACTTGGAACAAACCATGGCTGATTTTCTTGTATAGAAGATATCAAGCTCCTTGATTGACCAATCATTGTAATGAAAGTAGCATCAGCAAGCTCCTGGGCGGCCTCTGTCATAATATCAATTATCAAGATGCGTTGACTAACATCCACATTTGGGGAATAAAGTAACTTTGTAAGAACATCCAAAGACTCAAACGGACATGTCACAATCAGAGCAACGAGGGCCCTTTGCCTCTTCTCTTCAGAAGAATCTTCCTGTCCTTCAATAGCAGCATCTGTACAACGAACATGCACTAATGCTTGGGCAAGATCACCGGAACTATGATGGAGTTCATCAGGTGATGCTCTTATGAGCTTTTCAGCAACCTCAAGTGCTCTCTCAATCTGTAAATGAAGAAATAAAAATCAACTCAACGAGAAAATTTGTCCATATATAACCAAGTAGGTAAAGTAACATACACCATCAGGATCATCAGGTTTTCGTAATGCTGCACTGACATCAGCCAATTGGGAGAATCTTTTTTGTAAATCGGTATCATCATCAGAAAGATCATAAGGTTGTAAGGATGAATCACTTGAAGCTTCAGAATGCTTGCTTTCATCATCACTGACTTCTTCATCATCTTCATGCACACTTTTAAGCAAAGCTGGATCAATACTCTTATCAGAAACGTTCTTTCTCACCTCTAAAATCTTAATTTTGCTTTGGCTTCCTTTATCTTTCACATTCTTCTGTTTTTTATCAAAATATGAATGACCTCTATCGCTTTGTGAAATTTTTAATTCAGCATTGTCAATAGAGATTCCATGTGCTTCTTGTTTCTTAGTTAGAGAAATAAGCCCAAATTCCCAATCAATATTTTCACAGCAGATATCATCCAGATAGAGGGGCTTTGCTGGATCCACTACTCTAGAGAATGCTAAAGCAATAGAACAACCCATTTTTCTAATTAAATGAATCGGGCTCTCCAGCCTACCTGAAAATAGCACACAATTATTTCAGAAACATAAGTAGGCATTTTCAGTATAAATTATGTATATGGGAAAATGTATAATACAGCTGACTCCTTGAAGAATAGACGACAATACTTCTGGAGCTTTTTCTAGTTCTTCATTGGTCATTTTCTCCAAACACAAACCAACAGCTGCTGTTATGTCTGAACTTCAATTAAGAAAATTTTATAATTTGTAGCATACTAAGACTTCATTTGGGACAACTTTCTTAATGCTTTTTGAAGCAGCTTTTTAGTAAAAAAGAAAAATAATAATTTTTGTACTAAAATTCTGCTTCAAGAAGCAGTAAAAAAGCCGTCCCAAACGAAACCTAAGTGTATGATAACATCAAAGGATACAAGCCTGCTGCTCCACACGAGCTGACTGAACAAAATCGTGCTTGGACCATACAGTAACTAAGCGTTGCACTACGTCAAAGAATCTTTTATTCTTTGGGCTTGTTGAGCATGCATCATCATCCGGTGCATGTTCAAGAATGGAAAACTGAATGATCCATCTCAGGCAGCACACTGGAAAGATTTTGCAAATTAAAAATTTTTCCACGAACATGGCCCTGAAAATAAGCTGTCTTATCAGATCCAAAAAAGCTCATACCATCTAAAAACAAAAAAAATGTGATGATGAATTGGTATACGTATTCACCTCTAAAATAGGGAGAGATCTTGAGGGTCTCCTATTATAGCATATGGATGAATTAGAAATGATGGATTTTGGTGTATTTCCTTGTGATTTCCCTCCTATTCTACAACGCTTCATCTTTGGATTAATTTGTAAATCAATCACAGTTAATATTTGCAAACCCCTGATATATAATTTTCTATCTTATTTTTTTGTTCGCCTACATCCACACCACCTTTCCAAAACATTAAGCCACTTCAACCCTCACAAAAATTGAATCATGCCCCTACCACAAAACCCTAACACTTGTCCACTTATTGTGATTATCATTCATAAAAAATTCATCACTTTCCAACAACAAATTCAACTAAACTAAAGTCGCCACTGTAATCAGCTAACATCACAAAAAATTTTTATGTAGGTCATCATCCTTTTTCTATTTACAAAAACTTAGCCCTCCACTGTCATAAAGTTTCATCCAAAAATCTATCTAAAAATTCTAAACTAGTTAACATTTTTCTTTAGCCTTCCATCAACCATAAACCTTCTACCTCCACTCCAACAACCCTTGAATTCAAAATGACATCCACATCATTTGGTATCAAAGCCCAAAATATCAAAAAACCCATATCTTTTGTTCTAAACAAGGGAGAAATGTAAGCATCAAAAAAGGTAACACCATCACTACAAGGAGCAACACTACCTTAGAACTTCTCCACCAAGGTTTTCATCCACCAAATCACTTTTGTTTCAAGCGTGCTTATACTTAAAGCAATTGTTACCAATTGATTTCAAGATGCCTTTTTGATTATCTTTGATATTATACTTCACCAAATCTGATGCAGGACCACGTAAATGAAATGCACTTTAACTCATATGGATGTTGCACAACTTATGATTAGAATAATTCTAGAACAAAAATTACTATAGAATTCAAACAATGAATCAAAACGAATAGTTATTATCCGCTTAGGCTAAATCACATGGTGAGAGCTTTGAAAACTTCCAAAATAAATAGAAAACAACACAATGAATAATAGTAGCTTTCAAAATAATCCCTAGTCTAAAAATGAGAATTGGAAAGCATAGAGGTGCACTCAAATCCTACGTTTACTAAGCTTAAGCAAGAGCAATGCGGAGGAGCCCGTCGTGACTGCAATCAAATCAAGAAGAGTTAGACTAAAAGGGATAAGATGCAGGTAGGGAGAGAAACCTTCGTCAAGGGGTAGTGGAGATCCTCCACTCAATGCCTTCGAAGTGTTCGTCAACAGCCTCTACCAAATAGATCAACGTACACTCCAAGTAATCCTGGACGGTGAGATCAACCCTTGGATTCACGTCGAAGGAAGTAGATTGTAGGATGTCGACGAAGCCGTCTTCGTCCCAAGTTATGCCGTAATCAGTTTCCGGATCCGCCATTCATGGGCGCCGAATGCTAAATCTCCTTCTCCTTGTTAGGGTTCTTGAAGATGATGGAAGAGAAAGAAGTTTCTCTTCCTATCGCAAGAGAAGAGAGCCTACACCTAAAATCTGAAATTAGTTTCAGCTTTTGTAAAAGTGGAAAGCTAATTGAGAGAGAGAGGAGATTTGAGGGAAGGAGGGAGAGATAGGGTTAGAGAAAGAAGGACATAGAGGGGGCGGCGGGTAGAGGAGGGATGATGGGTTGATTTTCCAAATCAATTCCTTAGGTTAAGGAATAATTTGAGGATTTATGGTAGTTGGGAAATTTCGGCCAAGTGGGGTGAGAAGGAATTCGAATTATTTCCAAGTGGGGTTGGAGAATTAGGAAACAAATCCTAATTGACTCCAATAGAGTGGGTCGTCGGGAATGAGGGCTAGGGAGTCAATTAATGGAGAGGATTTAAGGCTTCCAAAATTGATTTCTACTATTAGGAAATATTCTTTTAAGATCCAATTGAATTTAAAATTCAAATTAAACCTTTAATGAATTCTTTTCTAAAATAGAAAAGTTAAATTAGGAAGGTTTTGAAATCAATTCAGAATTTATTTGAATTTCAAAATCTATCCCAATTTATCTAAGGCCCAAATAGGAAACACAAGGTGAGATGGGTTGAGGATGAGCAAACTGGCGGCTAAGGATGTGTGGTCGGCGGCAATGCACGGGTGAGGGCTCCAGCCGTGGGTTTGGGAGGAGAGGAAGGGCTCAGGTGGGGCTTGGCCATGGGTTTGGGGGATGAGGAAAAGGGGTTTGGGTGGGGCTGTGACCGTGGGAGTGAGAGGGGAGGAAGGGAGGAAGGGAGGAGAACCAAGAGCCACCAGTGGTGACTGTTGGGCACGACGGGTGGCCTCTCCTAGGCTCCACCAAGATCTCTAACTCTCTCTCTCTCAAGCTCTCTCAGAAGCTCCAAGAAGACAAGTGAAGGAAAATATCTCATAATCATTCATCACCCAATAACATGAAAGAATAGGCTATAAATAGCCAACTACAATGACTCAATGAAATAAAAGACACTCTTGCCCTTTGGGCTTACATACGATGCTTCCCATTAAAGGGGTATAAACGAAAAACATAAAGACACTTAATAAATAAAATGCATGTAATAAAATGACACAAATGACTCAAAAATACAAAGACTCGATCGTGGCCGTAGATCGGCGGCCACGTCTCTGATAAACCTTCCACGATCTGATGTCCCCATCAAAATCACTCATAATTAATTAGTTTTATACATGTTTATCTCCGCTTAAAAAAATAAGTTGCTAAGATTTGCCTAAAGATAACAATATTTTTTTCAAGCACTTATTTCATTATTACATAATCATTATTCTACTATTCTTTTGCGTAATTATTTTTGCACAAATACTTTTGCATAATTATAATTTTCTATATATATATAAATGATACCTAAACTATCAAAGGAGATATTGGGATTTAAACTAACCATTGTGGCCCGCGTTCTTATATAATGAGCCATCATCCTTCTATGATATAGAGTACGTAATATTTAAAATTAAAAAAAGTAATGTTAAAAAAGTCTTCAGTTTTCTATATTCCATTTTTCGCACCTTCAAAAATTGATAAGTGATATTACTATAAATGAACCATTACTATGACAAATTAAAGTAGCGGCCCATTTGAATCTTTTGTTAAATTTAAATCAATAGCAATTATTGAATTACTAAAAGATAAAGCTGAGTGTAAATATCATATGAAAGCATATGACAATGCTATGGCACGCAAGCTTTTGGTTTTTTTCATTAAGAAAAAACCATCAGGTTTAGTACGAAGTAAATTTGAAGAGAAAAAAGCACCAAACAGGCTCTCATTCCATTGAAAAAAATGGTTCCACATTGAGTAAATCTAGCGTCGAGTTGAAGAAAATGGAGCGAAAAGCCACAGCTACATGTGGGTCTCTGCTAATTGTTTTTGCATGAATTTATAAAACTAATTTGAATTCTTCAATATTGATATGTTGATGTTAATGCTAAGCATTTCTTGTTTCTGGGCATGATATTAAAGATATTAATGCTAAGCAATAAAAAAAGTAGTAAATATTAGTGAACATGTTAACAACCCATGTATGAAGTAACTGTACTAATGCCCAAAATATTTCTATCATAAAGAAAATATTCAAACAAATTTCCAAGACAGGTTAAAAAAAAAATGAAGGCATCACGATTGCTGAAACTTCAAGGAAATAATAAAAAAAATGTGATTACCTCATGGTATTTTCAAGCTTGAAGCACCGATTAAACAGCAACCAGAGAGTCCAATAAGCTTCCACATCACTAATGTTTTTAGTTGAAAGCTGCCGGAGTAACACTTCAGACAATCTCTCCATAGCATATCGGTCTTTAATCGCTTCCACTATCCTCAACCAAAACATAGATCTAGAAGACTTCTCGAACACAGTAGTAATAGCAGAATAAGATTTTGATGATAAGCAGCTTTGGACTATATCAAGAATTCTGGGAATCATCTCATCTGCAAGAATGTCTGAAGATATACTGAAGTTAATAGAAGAAAAGAGAATGCAACAGAATCACTAAATGATAAAGCAACTTGGAACCATATAAAGAAGTCTGCACTCACTTCACTTACAGGAATCTGAAGATCAAAGTGGCTTTAGTAAAAGAAAGACAAATGCAATTGCATGCTTTTAAATATCAGAGAAGATATTGTATGTTAATATTTATAAACTATATGTGTGGACATCCGATCATGAAGATTTTTAGAGGAGACGACGATCGATGGCCGAGATCATTCCACCTTATCTTAATTTGTTATTTATAATTTTTATTTTTATTATGAATTTTCCGTTTTTACCCTTACTTAAGAGGGTCGTCCTATGTAAGCCCTAGGGACATATATGTCTTGTTTTAGTTTCTTAGGCATATATATAGAGGGCATTTCTTATGCAATGTAATGTTGCATGATTAATAAAATTTTGTGTTTGCACTTGTGTTCTTTGGGAAGAACCTTGGGTGAGATTCCTATGGGAGGAATTCATAGCTTTCACCAGCCGCAGGATGTGTCCGGGCTCGTGGCCTGAAGTTCCTTGGTGAATGGCAACGTAGTACCCGTCAGCTGTAGGATGTGTCCGGGCTTGCAGTTATACCTTTCTTTCCCTAAATCCTCTTCTCCTCCTCCCTTGACCGCCGGCCAAAATCCCCCACTTTCCACCGGCCGATTTCTCCCATAACTTCCAACTTCCACAAAACCGACCTCCCCTTTCCTCCTCCCAGCGGCCTTAGCTCCACCTCCAAACCCCCCCGCCCCCCCCCCCCCTCCCGCCAACCTCCTTAGCCGTCGGTCTCTCCAATCCGCTGGCTTCATCCCCACCATCACCCAAACCCACCCGCCAGCAATCTCTTTGTCTAATATCACTTCCCTCCAAAACTCCTCTTTCCTTATTTATGATATCATAAATTTGGAAAGATTTCAAATTTGAATTAATCTAATTTGAATTTCAAATCCACCCTCATTAATTACATTATAATTTTGGAAATTTTCTTTATTTAATTAATCAATCAATTTATCAATTTTGAAATTGATTGATTAATTAATCCCATATCCAAATTTTAAATGTTTTCCTAATTAGTATATCTATATTAGGAAGAATCCTTCAATCATATTAAATCTGAAATTATTTCAGATTTAACTCTCCAATCTCCCATTAATACATGGGTCCACATACATTGTATGTGGACACCTTTTCCTTGCCCTCCATTGGTCAGCCCACCTTCTCTCCCCTCTCTAATTATTTATTCCCCAATTTACGGCCTAGGATTAGGAAATATTAATTACATCTTCCCTTCTTTATTCTTCCTGTTGAAATTCAAAATCTTTTAAATCTCCCCCACCTCCTCCTGTTCTACATCACTATAGCTCGACTTAAGAGTGAAAATTTTGAAAACCATGAGGCAAAAGCTTGATCAAGTTGAAATACTTACAAGAGTCCTGATCATTTTTTCTGGGGCTCTGACATCTTAAAAGTTCCAAAATGGTCTACTAGGAAATGTTAACTTAACAGAAAGCGCTTATACTCATTTTTGTTAGTTCAAGGTGGCTCGCAATAAATAATTCAATTAGATATGAACATGAGATAAGAATTGGAGAGAATTATTATATTAAATCATCATTTGTGATCAATTTATACAAGCCTAGGAGAACCTATAGTAGAAATATACAAAATTTTTAAGCTGAAAATTAGCTATAGGATTAATTACAATTACGATAGTAATGCATAGCATCTTAGCTAAAATGTTTCTTAGGGATAGTTGATTTAGTTTGTTAACTATTTCTAGAAAGTTCTAGGGATTTTATTGGATTATTATAAATAGAATGGTTGTTTGAGGTAGTAAATGAATGATATTTTTGGAATTAATAGCATTTGGCTGTTTTGCTCTTACGAGCTGTTGGTACCACCTTCTTCGATGATTTCTCCCTACCTCAATTGGTGTCATAGCCCCGTCAACCCTTGACGACAATCGGGGTTCGGGATGATTTGGGGAAACTATGGATGGAGTTGGGCAGTTGACGACATTCGAAGCCTCCACCAGTCGGAAACCATACCGGCATTTCTACACATCCACCGCTGGCAATCATACCAACAAATCAATCGTCTGGCAACCATACCATAATGAATCCACCGGTGGCAACCATACCATCAGACATCTTCCTGCGACACTAGCCTTTTGATCAATCTCCGACTAGCAACCCTGTATAGTCCGCTCGTGATCCGCGAGCCTACACCCATCTCCGACCTCCTCCGTTTCCACGCGTGACCATCTCCAAAGCCCGTTTTCCGCTTTGAACCAAGTATGTGCGAACACAACCATCCCTCATGCTCTTGTCTATGCCCCGATTATTTCCCCGGTCTGCTCGACCCCCTTCCACTGCCAATTCAAACCTCACCGCACTTCTGGAGAAGGTCGGATACCCAGATCTGAACTCTCTCAGCAACACCAACCTCGCACTCCGACTCCGCTCGACCAACCCATCTCCTGTCTCACACGAATCCAGCCCCTCCAAGAAACCTACATTCCGCTTGACCAACCACAATGTTAGAGCATACAAGTCATGTCCACAAGCACAAGGAAATTAATCTACACCAACTACATCAGCACTAGGCAGCAGTCCACTACGTCTGCTACACTCTCTGCCAATAACGGCACCTGCACTACTTGATATCATTAGCTCCCAAGCCTTCTCCATATATACATGTAAAAGCCTTTAATGGCTCTCTATGGAATGAACATTATACATTCTGATGCTCTAACTAGGCATCTCTACTTCTCTCTTAATATCTTTATGCAGGCCTTCTTCAATTATTCATGCATTTATGATTATTGTTTAGTGTTACATGAGGTAAACTTACTGTTCACAATCATTTTGAACAATTTGTACCTATATACTCCTAGGTCTATCTCTTATAATTCATTAATTCCTAATTCTCCGATATTAATTTCATCTACTCATCTACTCTTCTAATGGATTTGTTTTCTAACCTTTATTGTACTATGCCCAGTGAGATTTAAGGCACACTATGCCATGGAAATTGAAACTTCAGTGTATGAAAGAAAAAAAATAGAGATAGGCATGATATTAAGGAAAAATTGACAATTATTTGAAAAAACAGATGTAATTCCTGCTAATCTGGTGCCTGAAATGGTAAAAAAAAGTTTCTCACCTGCAGATCCACGCCTACATATACGTGAAAAAGTTTCTCCAACAAAAAACAGGCCACCTTCCATGGTAGTTACATCGGGCGTATCCACTCTATCATATAATTCCAAAGCCCTTTTTTCTGATCCATCAAGAAGTTGAATAATAATGCAACGGACGAAGGAGCTAAGCTAATAGTCAAGGATAGACTAGACAAAAGAAGAATAAGACATGACTAAGAAAATAATCAAACCAACTGAAAATGAAAGAAACTATAAATTTTGTCCTGAAATGCCAAATTCATGGATCACTAGCTGGATTTGTTCGATTCATGATAATGACATGTGCAGGTGAATGTAGGAGATAAGCTTCTGAAGAAATACTATAAAAAAAAAATAACACAGTTATCCATTGGAAATTTCACCTAAACTTCCTCAACATGAGAGGATTTTCTATTTTGAGAACGCAAAAAAAAAAAGACATCTAAGCTCCTTTATTCCGGTAGTGTTTCGAGATGAACACCTTCAAATCTTTAATGCAATGGACTAACCTTGGGCAGCCTCAGCGGACACTAAAAGTCCAATTACTCAAAGTCACATTCATCCAAACTCTTCTCTACTCATTGCAATAAACTTTGCATTTGTGTTCAAGCAGTTTGCTTTATATAATGGAAATGGTCTCAAAAACTGTAGCAACTATATGCAACATGGAGAAGCTGATGGACCGGTTCACCCGGTCCATCCTAGACCCGTGCGGGTCTATGGGAGGCGGGCGGACCGGCTGCACAAAAAGGGGCCCACCCACTTAAGTGGGGGTAATTTGGGGATGTGAGGGACTTTGGATTGTATGAAGGGGGGCCATTAGGGTTTAGTTGGAGGCATGGCCCACCCACTTAAGTGGGGGTAATTTGGGGATGTGAGGGACTTTTGGATTGTATGAAGGGGGCCATTAGGGTTTGGTTGGGGGCATTATGAAAAGTGTATTCTCTTTCTAGTTTCCTTCTTGTTCTTTTCTAGGGTTTTCTTGTGGGAGATCTTGTCCTTCTCGAAGTGGACAAACTTATCTTGTTTTCTCTTGGCTTTCTAATGCAAAGGTTCTTGCTTTTCATCTCAACCCTCTTGTGATTGTTTCTCTTTGCTTTTGGTGGAGAAATTCCTCATTTTTGGGGGAAATTAGGGCAAAACTGAAATTGTGGAACCCTAGGGCATATCAGAAGCATCTACGTGTAAGGGCTAGATTAAGGGCTCCAAGCTGAGTGAACTTGAATTTTTCATTACTGCCTTTGATGCTTCGCATATTATGTAGTCCCTTATGGCATTGAAAATCAAACCTTCTGTTACCTTTTTGAGACTATAACTTAATAAATCAATGGCATACTTAGTAATGTAACAAAACATTTATTCAATGCACTAATGATTACACAACCCATCTTTGTTGTTTAAGTTACTCTTACTAAAATACTAGGACAAGATAGATAACCACATTTTGCATTTCATGTAGAAACATCAAAAAAAATGAAATTGAAAGAAAAAGTAGCACGGCGGCCCAGATCTCCTGTAAAAGAAACTTCTTATTTGTTAAAATGCCGCTTACATATAGACCATGAAAAAAAAGAAACTACTGTGAAATACTAGAAAAGACAGCTACAATATATGTAAATCCCTTAGTATATACTATATCTTATTCAAAGGAAGACAATGGAAATAATTAGGAAAAAAAAAAAACTTATAGGGCCTTATAAACACATAAAAGAGAAATTTCAAACAGCATCATAAACAGGGCTTTGATAAGTCAACCTGCGAACTTGAAAAGAAGCCATCTAGGGAATGATCATAATGGAAATAATGAAAACAAGCATCTATTATATAATGGAAGTATATGATAAACTCTAACACGCCCTATAATATACATGAAAAAAACTCAGGATACTATGATGAAAGTGAAGGTAGAGCTTCAAATGTTGCTTTGTCAGGAATTGAAGCAAGAAGTTGTGCTACTCTCGATATACTCAGTGACCTATCTGCTTTCAACACTTCACCAAGATTTCGAACACCACTGTATGGAAGATCAAATTCCGAAACCATAAGCTGTACCCCTTCTTTTTCAAGTAAGCACAAAACCAATAGCCTGTTACAAGCTCCATGAATGAAATTTGTCATTATATTATAAAAAGAAAAACCTTACTGTGCACATAAAAAAGGAAGGAAAAAGAGCTCCATAAAAAAAAGTAAGCTCCAGACAAAGGATTACAGAAATATATGCAACAAATATTAGAAATCTAGTTCAAAGATAGAATATTACCATGAATGTTGCCTTGTTAAATATTGCATACATATCGTTGATAAAAGCAAGAATATTTTGTCATTATCCTTTTCCAGACTATTTGGAGTTGAGTTATAAATCATTACACTTCATTCAATCATGTTGAGCGTTGGATGAAATATTACATAAATCTTGCATAAATTTTTTTTGCACAACTTTATACTTGTATTGCCCTTGGTACACCCCATTTCCTTACAAAGAATACTTATTTATCATCATCATTGGCATTTTACCGACTATTTGAGATTTACTCTAAAAATCCTCTTCTTTAATTCTTGTGGAATGTTGCATGAATGTTAATTGTATTTTGCTTTCTTATTTTACATGTACTTTATCGATGTTACATTTAATCTACCCATGTTCATTACTAATCCTTAGCCATTACTTTTGTCAATCTTATTAGAGCATTTTCTACCCCTCTCTATCCGCCACAGTACCACACATCCCCACCCCACAACACAAACTTACCTTCAATATATTGATGCGGAGCATCTTTGCATAGCTTGGACCTGAGGAGCAGGGTACCTTATATTAGCTACAGAGCACTTATTTCAGTTAGTGAGCATGTGCTCCACTACCATTTTCCTTATTTAGTTATGATGTACTATTGGCTACTTTTTATTTTCAGCAACTGTTTTGAGTATAGTAGGAAGGTAGGTTTATATTCTCAGGGGATAGAGGAGTAAGGTAGAACTGATAGAAGAAACTTCTATATAAAACCTTTGGTTACTGTTCTATTGCATTGCAATTTGCTTCTTGTCTATGATTTCTCATCTCTTGCGGGTACACCCGGCATCATAGTGGTATCAGAGCGAGGATGGCGGAAGCAAGCAACCGGGTGGCTGCCGGAGAAGATCAAAGCCTGGAAGCTCTGTGGATTGAGCACAACAAATTAACGAAGCAAACGGAGCAGGTTTCTGTAAGTTTGCAACGTTTCTTCGGGGAAATGCTTCGAGAGTTGAGGTTGATCCACACTCGTCTAGACCGACAACAATTCGCCCGCTGCTCCGGCGACCATGCCGATAGGGAGAAGGGAGTTCATGATAGACATAGAGTGTCAACAGGACACTCGAGCGTCGGAGTTCTCGGATTCAGAAGAGGAACTGGATCGGTTCAGGTCCTTGGTGCTGACGGATTCAGAAGAAGAACATATACCAATTTGGAGGCGACGTCCGACCACAAGGGACATGTATCAAGGCGAATTTCGCGTAAAACTGGACATACCTTTTTTGAAGGAAAGCTTCATATTTAGGATTATCTGGATTGGGAACAGGCTATTGAAACGTTCTTTGAATACATAGAGATTGAGCCGGAGCAACAAGTAAGATATGTGGCCTATAGGTTGAAAGGAGGCGCCGGTGCTTGGTGGCAGTAGGTAATCCAATCTAGGAGGCGAGAAGGAAAGGGAGCCGTGAGGAGTTGGGTCAGAATGAAACAATTGTTAAGGGGCCATTTCTTACCAACCGATTATGAACAAATGTTGTATGTGAAGTACCAACATTGTTCACAAGGAGCGAGGTCGGTCAACAAGTATACCGAAGAATTTTACCGGCTTAGTGCTAGAAACAATCTTAATGAATCCGGCAATCAACTGGTTGCGAGGTATGTTGGGGGATTGAGATATATAATTCAAGATAGACTTGAACTGAATATTGTTTGGTCTCTTTCACAAGCAGTTAATTATGCCCTTAAGATTTAGGCACAATTGAATCGCATGCTCATGGCAGATTGAATAGGAAGGTGGCAGATCATTCTGTAGAAATTAACAAACAATTTCAATTCCATTCAAGTGCAAACAGCAAGCAAGTGGCCACTCTGTCCAACACCAATTTGCCTTTAGCTATTGGGTCGAGAGGAGCAGATTTGAAGGGTATTCAGAAGGGCAAGGCACCACTTAGAGAAAATCCGTATGCCAAGCCGTCAGGCATCAAATGTTTCAGGTGTCTACAACCTGGGGACAAGTCCAATTAGTGCCCAACCAGAGCTCAGCTACAGTTGTTGGAGGGTGAAGATGAGGAAGAAGTGATCAAGAGTGATAATGAGGTCGACAATGAAGCAGAAGATGTTGCAGGTGACGAGGGAGATCCCTGATTTGTGTTCTACTAAAGCTGCTGTTAGCTCCTCGTAAACCGGTGAAAACAAAACGCAATGCTCTATTTAAAACAAAATGCACTATTAAGGGAAAGTTTGTGATTTACTAATTGACAGTGGCTGCACCGAGAATGTTATTTCTCGCTCAGTGGTACAAGCATTACAACTCAAGACGACGAAGAATACTAATCCATATAAAATAAGTTGGGCTAAAAAGGGCATGGAGATATCTGTGACTGATCTGTACAAAATGACTTTCTCCATTGGTCGTCACTATGTGAGTGAAATTTTATGTGATGTGGTGGACATGGACGTGTGTCACTTGATTTTTGGAAGACCTTGGCAATTCGATTTGGGAGCCATTTATGACTGTCGAGCCAACACTTATGCTTTTGACTGGAAGGGTAAGAAGTTGAGATTACTTCCTCGCACACCGGACCAGGAACCAACTTTAGATAATGGTAAAACAACATTGTTTGTTGTGACTAAAAAGGCATTACTAAATGCCTGGAGGGAATCAAAGTGCATTATGGTATTAATTGTCAAAGAGCAGAATAATGCAATAGTGATGAATTCTCTGCCAGCTGAAATCAGCACGTTACTGCAACAGTTTTCGGATATCTCTTCCTCGGAACTGCCTACCGAGCTGCCCCCAATCAGATCAATTCAACACCAAATCGAATTCACTCCTGGAGCTATGTTACCCAACTTGCCTCACTATAAGATGAGCCCAAATGAACATAAGGTGTTACAGCAAATTGTTGATGAATTATTAAGCAAACAATTGATTCAATCAAGTCTAAGTCCTTGTGCAGTACCGGCTCTATTAGTACCAAAAAAAGATGGTAGCTGGAGGATGTGTATGGACAACCATTCCATAAACAAAATTACAGTTAAATTTCGCTTCCCTGTGCCGAGATTGGAAGATATGTTGGACAAGCTGTCGGGGGCACGGATTTTTTCAAAATTAGATCTCCGGAGTGGATATCACCAAATCAGAATTCGATGAATGGAAAACAGCTTTCAAAACTCGCCAAGGACTTTACGAATTGAAGGTTATGCCATTTGGCTTATGCAATGCTTCGGTGACATTTATGAGATTGATGAATGAAGTGCTGAAGCCGTTCCTTAACCGGTGTTGCATCGTGTATTTTGATGATATATTGGTCTTCAGTGCTACTTAGGAGGATCACATACAACACTTGCAGGCAATTTTCGGGATTCTGAGACAAAATAAGCTGTATTTAAACCTTCTCTTTTGTGAGTTCGCCACCAAGCATGTATCATTTCTTGGGTTTATCATTTCGGCTAAAGGTGTAATGGTTGATCCACGAAAGGTGACAGCCATAGTAGAATGGCCAGTGCCCCGCAATTTTTTTGATATTCGTAGTTTTCATGAGTTGGCAAATTTTTATAGGTGTTTTATCAAAGGATTCAGTGTGGTTATGTCATCAATAATTGATGTGCTTAAGCAGACACAATTTTCCTGGTCAAAAGAGCCGTCATTAGAGCGTTGAAGCAGTGGAAAAATTATTTACTGCATTAGGATTTTGTTCTTTGTAGTGATCATAAGGAGCTCCAATATATAAACACCCAAAAGAACATAAATCGGATGCATGCTCGTTGGATTATATTTTTGCAAAAGTTTACTTTTGTATTAAGGCATAAAAGCGGAAAGCATAACAGAGTTGCAGATGCACTAAGTCGGCAAGCACTTCTTCTAACACAATTACAAACAGAGTTTTCTGGTCTTGAAAGCTTACAGGAATTGTATGTCGAATATGACTTCTTCCAGGAAATATGGGTAAAATGCAAAAATAAAGAGTAAGTGGTTGAGTACTCTATTCGACAAGGATTCCTCTTCAGGAATGAGTTGCTTTGTGTGCCGAACTCTTCTTGGAGGCAGCGTATCATTCAGGAAACCCACGCCGGAGGGCTAGCTGCTCATATTAGATGAGATAATACCATAATGCAGCTCCATAAACGATTTTTTGGCCCCATTTACGAAGGGATGTTTCCAAATATGTGCAAAGGTGTTCTGTGTGTCAAGGCTACAAGGGTGGAGGGCAAAACACAGGATTATATCAACCTTTACCTGTACCGGATTCCATTTGAGAAGATTTGAGCTTGGATTTTATATTTGGGCTTCCTCAAACGAAACGTGGTAATGATTTCATTATGGTCGTAGTGGATCGCTTCTCAAAAATGACACATTTCATTGCCTGCAAAAAGACATTTGATGCTCTCAATATTGCAAAGCTTTTTTTCAAAGAAGTTGTTCGCCTTCACGGTATTCCGAGAAGCCTTACATCAGATCGAGACGTCAAGTTTATTAGCCATTTCTGGCGCGAGCTATGGAAGCGACTGAATAGACAAATTCAATTAAGTTCGGCATATCATCCTCAAACGGATGGGCAGACCAAAGTGGTTAACCAAACCCTTGGCAACTTACTTCGTTGCTTAGTACAAGAGAACCCTACATTATGGGATGAAATCCTCGGCCAGGCTGAATTTGCATTCAACTCGATAACAAACCGATCCACCGGTATGTGTCCATTCAACATAGTTTATACTAAAATGTCAAATAGTGTTCTTGATGTTGTAGTTCTCCCCAAAAGTCATAGCAAATCAGCCTCTACAATGGCCAATCAATTCGCTGAACTACTGTCTAAGGTCCGACTAAAGCTACAGGAATCCAACCAACAATACAAACAGGCTGCAGATGCACATCGCAGGGAGAAAATCTTCAATCCAGGAGATTTAGTTTTTGTTCGTTTGTGTAAAGAACGCCTTCTGCCAGGCAAACACTCCAAACTCACTCAGAGAAAATGGAGTCCCTTTCCCATTAGCAAACGGATCAACGACAATGCTTATATTGTCGATTTACCTGCCGAGTTTACTACGTCTCACACATTCAATGTCGTTGACATCTTTGCCTATGTCCCTCCAAACAACATTAAACTCAACCTTGAATCTGTTGACACAGATTCTTCTCGTGATGGGGACGAATGATGCGGAGCATCTTTACATAGCTTGGACATGAGGAGCAGGGTACCTTATATTAGCTACAGAGCACTTATTTCCGTTAGAAAGCATGTGCTCCACTACCATTTTCCTTATTTAGTTATGTTGTACTACTGGCTACTTTTTATTTTCAACAACTGTTTTGAGTATAGTAGGAAGGTAGGTTTATATTCTCAGGGGATAGAGGAGTAATGTAGAATTGATAGAAGAAACTTCTATACAAAACCTTTGGTTACTGTTCTATTGCATTGCAATTTTCTGCTTGTCTCTATTTTCTCATCTCTTGCAGGTACACCCGGCATCATATATTCTACTCCCATCATCACTCCAATAAAAATTTCCTAGTCTAGTCTTCTAGTTTTAGCATGCATCCATCTTATAAATGGTTTTTCTATTTACACTCAACTTTGCAATCGATAACTTCATTATCATCCAAGACTAAGTGCCATATAACATAGCCAATTTAATTGTAACCTTCTAAAATTTACTTTCTAATCTCCATGATAGTCTGTCATGTCATAATAATATTGAGGAATGCAACTATTTTAACAACCAAGCCTTAACTCAAGAATATGTATATTCATCATCCCAATTTTTTTCTACAATAGAAGTTCAATAATTAAACTTATCATATCAATATATTATATATTGTCAGTTTTTTCACTCTCACTAAAATTGAATAACTACTACCCAAAAAAATTTTGTGAGACTCAATCTCCAAGCGCTCGCAGCATGCACATAACTCATGATTAAAAGCTTGAAATGGAGCAAGCAAACTCATGTAGTGCCAATGCAAACACAATTCTAAATATCAAGCTTTTGAAGTGCACTTAAAACTACAGGAAATCCTACAATATCCCTTAAAAAAAAATAATTCCTAATGGATCCAAATTTTATTTCCTATAAAACTTAATTTCACTTTGCATATTATGCACAATTTTTTTATTCATTTCATGTGTGCATTCCTATTATCATTTGACAGTTTTGAGTGATTAAGGCATCTATTACTGAAATAGCATAATAGGCTTTGTACATACGACACTTTGTACTCGTTACAAGGCAAATGTTTCATCAATATACTGTAAAGCATTTTTACTTTTGTTGTCATTTGAATGGCATCTACTAAATTTGATAAACAATAATCAATAATTTTATTGATAACTTTTTTTTACTTTAAGCTTATCAAGACAAATAATGCAAGGCGCCATATTGCAATTATTTGTTTGTCAAACCTTCAGCTATTAGCAATCTTTTGTAGATTCGCTAGTGTTTAAGCATGGGATTTTGGTTGTTTAACTCTCTCTAATTTAACTATATAGAGTACTTAAAGATTTTTTAACTTCATTGAATCTTTATTTGATTTAAATTTGAGAGTTGCATATTTAATGTCTGATGCTTGTATTCTTAGGCTCTAAATATTAATCTTCACTAAGTGGTACTCAACCCTTTTTATGCATTAAAATTTGAAATATTGCATTCTTTTTTAAGGTTTTATGCATTAAAATTTGAAATATTGCAACGTACCAAAAGGTTCCCCCAGCTACCCTCCACCCATCTTTCCTTTCTCCATCTCTCTATCCATTTGTAGATACTGCAAACAGCTATATGACATCCTACAGACCTCAAGTCTGCCGCAAACATATATCCATATTCATATGATATCCCTCCTGGGAACATTCATCTTCATTCAACAGTCCCTTGCTCTCTTGGCAGCATGTATATATCTTCATCCAACGGTCTTGCTCTCGAATTCAATCAACAACTCAACGCCCACCCTTCCCCCCAACCAGCACAAAACACCACCACCCAAAAAAATCAAAAGGAAAAAACTCAGCCTTTTGTCCCCTCTAAGTGCAAATACATTTCTAATTATACTACTTGAGATGCAAGGCAGTGTTTTCCTTTGTCATCTCTATGGAAGGCAGAGTTAGTTTAATAGGAAAAAATATACTAAATCATCCAAAAAGAGCAAGTCCTGTCAATAGCGCTTTTAGATTCCTAGAAGTTTTAATCCAAGCCACAAATGTGCAAAAGTTAAAAAAGTTAAGGAGCCAATAAATTGGTACAATGCCCTATGGACCAATGCAAAGAGGTCTGGAGTTTCAGAGGCATTTGCTTGGAAGCTTGTTTATAGGCATGGCACATCCATGGTGCAAGTGCCACAAAATGCCTTAAACTGTTGGTAAACAGTTTTCAATCCAAGCACAAACATCAGAAGCCAAGCTATACCATATATCAACTATAAAAGAACAAAATATCTATGATAGTGTAACTTGCCAACCATAGTGTATGTACTGTAAAATGGCTGTGAGATTGCAAATTTGAAAACTTATGACCTTTCAACGTTTGAATGGATAGTCTTGAGCTTAAACTTATCAATGCTTCCATTTTGCTTGAGAGCAGGTACCAAGGTCTGCATGATCTCAGTTGGGGGACCTTCCACAAAGAATGAATCATAAACTTGCTTGCGTGCTGGCAAAGGAAAGGAACTCAGCCAATGAGATGTAACATCTGCAGAGATGGATGAAATCAGTGCATCAATAAATCAAAAGCATGTTTTAAATAGAAATTTTTTAACCGCAAAATAGATAAAATTTAAGGAACCAGCAAATCATTTCAATTTCATATTCGACAAAAAGACTAAAACTAGCAACTTAACAATTAAAAAGGTCGCTTTGATCTGCAAATAATACCAAACAGAAAATATTATGAATATAATAACCGTGTTAATCACTTCATATCTTTCTTGTGAGAAGTTAAATAAAATTATTTATTTTTTTATATACTTATGAAAAAAGCAATTCAGTAAACAAAGAAAAAAAACAAAGGCAATGTTCAACAGATCTTATCTACATTCAGCAATATCCCAACTAATCTACAAAGAATAAGCAACAAAAAAGTATAAGCTGTATAAAAAGAATTCAAATGGAAGAGGTAATGAATGTAAGTGAAAAACGTACTGTATATAAGCATCCTAGACATGGCAGGAAAGGCAGCACCGTGGTAGAAAACATGCCTCCACTCATCCCTTTCAGAATCAGTCGGAACTTTAACATCCAACACCTGATCAAAGGATGCATATAAACACCCACCAATAGAAACCAATATGAAAAAAATAGAAACCAATATGAAGCAAATTTGAGTTCAGAATGTACCCGGCTAGAGTACTGAGGATCAATGGCACCTACAAAACAAACAAAGATACAAACGCATTAGCATTCACAACAAACCAAGCAAATTATTTCAACAAATCAAATTGTTCCATGGAGATTATAAATTCGATAAAAATCGAATAATTCAATGGAAATTTCGAAAATGCAGCTCAAATGACGAAAGAGAAGGGATTAGGGAGATACCTAATATGATAGAGGAATCGATTTGGAAGAAAAGAACAGCTAGGGAATGAAGGGCGCAGATCACTTGATCGACGTGCTTAGCAGAATCGATCGAAGAGGAGACCTCTTCCACTTTCTGCAGGATTAGGGTTTCTACTTCGACTTCCACCAAGCGGGTTGACACTGTGCCCTCGCCCTGCTTCGCCATTGCTTCTCCGGTGTTCTGACGTTCCCAGCCGTTTAAACCGGATTTTCCGGACCTTTATACATTTCGTAATGGCGGCGAAGGATCGGGAATCAGGGCAACTCCAACAGAACTCTTCGGCCGTTTGCAGTTCCGGCGAGCCTCCACCCAAATGCATGCGATTGGCGCTAGCGCTCAAAAATGAAAAACTTATTTCCTTCACTTTTTTAATTATAATTTTATTCTGAAACTATTAAATTTAGAATTTTGATCTTAGATATAATAGTTTAATTTATATCATTATTTGTTTTTATTTTAATATATTTAATTTAAACTTATTTAAATTAAATTATATATTTTAAATAATTTAAATTCAAATAGTATGATTAAAATAAGACATTAATCCATAAATTAAGATAAAATTCACATATAAATTTAAAATACATCAAATAATAAAATAACACGTGGTACTTAGACAATATAATAATAAAACGATAAATAAAAATAAAAATACATGACAAACAATAACAACAAAATATATAATGATAAATGAAACTAAAAATTGTTAATGCTAATAATATATTAATCTAGAATAACGATCTCGGATCCTAAATAGTGTCCAAATGAATTAGATGTAGGAAGTGATTGTTGATCTTATTATTGGTCAAATCTTTTTTATTTTTCTAAAATTCGTGTTTATTCAACTTGGACAAATGCAAGAATGTTAGAATATTGTGTATATAATTCAAGTCATGCAACAATGTTTTGTTTTCTTCCTTGAGTTTTTTCAAAGTATTGTTCTTACTTTAATGCTCCAAGTGACATTGTCTCTATGCACTTGTCTTTTTTAATTGCTGAATAAGTTATTTATTTCCATCTTCTATAGTATTGGTGAAGGTTGACATCTAATCATCGAGTTTTCTTTTTTATTTTGGTTTTCCTGATCACCCCAATTAATTGTTATGATTAAGAGCCACCAACATTATATTCATTGTTGTCTAAAGAAGCAAGAATGCAAACAACAGAGGAAATGGTTGTCCAACAGATTAATGGGTGATATTTTCTTACTCTAATGATGCATGCATGAAGCTCAACCTTTGAGAAGCTTGTCTAGCACCAGAGGCATCATCTTAATTTTTTTCAAAATTCTTAATAATATTTCACGCATTATTAAACCTTCAACAATATTTGAACTTTTCATCTTATGCAATCAACACATTGGATTGATCTAATTGTAATTTGATATAAATATTATAATTAATTAAATAATTAAATTAAGATGATAAATTTTAAAAAAATATTATTAATTGTCTCATTAGGTGGGCTGAGCAATACGCGGGTCGTAGTGGAACACCTGCTATTATTCTTAAACTATAACGGGATTATAATCATTGGATATGATATGCTTATTTCAGTATGTCAAGCACTAATGATGATGATATCAATGTGTTGGAGTCTTCCCACTTATTTTTAAATATCGCTTAAGTTATTGCTCGTCCAGCTAATTATGTCATACAAGGAAAATAATATAATATCATTTATTATTTGGCTGATAATATATATTCAAAATGGTCACCATTGTGCAAACTATTCAAGAGCCATGTGGTTTGAATAAAATATATTTTGCAATGAAACAATAAGCATGTATAAAAGACGTTATATTCATTGTCGTCTAAAGTAGCAAGAATACATACAACAAAGGAAATGATTGTCCAACAGATTAAAGGGTAATATTTTCTTAATCTGATGATGCATGCATGAAGCTCAACCTTTGAGAACCCTGTCTAGCACCAAAGGGTTAATCTTGATTTTTTTCAATATTTTTAATAATATTTCACACATTATTAAACTTTCAATAAGATTTGAACTTTTCATCAATCAACACTTTGGATTGATCTAATTGTAAATTAATATAAAAATCATAATTAATTAGATAATTAAATTAAGATGACAAATTAAAAAATATTATTAATTGTCTCATCGGGTGGGCTGAGCAATACGCATGTTGTAGTGGAACACCTACTATTATTCTTGAAACTATAGCTGGATTATAATCTTGGATATGATTTGCTTATTTTAGTATGTCAAGCACCAATGATGATGATATCAATGTGTTGAAGTCTTCCCACTTATTCTTCAATCTCGCTTAAGATATTGGTCATCCAGCTAATTATGTCATACAAGGGAAATAATATAATATCGGTTATTATTTGACTGATAATATACACTCAAAATGGTCACTATTGTGCAAACTAGTCAAGAGCCACGTGGTCCGAAGAAAATATATTTTGCAATGAAACAATAAGCATGTATAAAGACATAAAATATGCCTTTGAAGCTCTCCAATCATGCTTCGCAATTGTGGTTGTATCAATACATTTTAAAAAAATATGATGTGTTACATGATATATTAGTAATTTCTCCTTGACACCAACCCAATCCTTTACTGGTGTTTGAGGGCGGGCTTGCTGGGGAGAATGAGGGATGGAAGTGAAGTCAGTAAATAGGTTGTTTGTGTGATGCCCCAGAAATCAATAGTGAAAGGATTCGTCTGACATTCTGATCGAACTCCATTCCAGTTGCCTTGCTCGGACCTGAAAATTTAAACCACATATAATGAGCTTACAAAGCTCAGCAGGTCACCAAAGCTTACAACTGAAATCAAAGCACGGCGATGTTATCAATATGCAGGTCAAAGTAAATCAAGTCAATCAATGGTCAATGAGTCTATGCAATGCGGAAATCCATGGTCAATGAAATCAAGTCTGCACAGCGGAAATCAAATCAGTAGTCAATGCAGTACGAAGATCAATAATCAATAATCAATACAGCGGTAAAAACATCGATAAATCAATACGCCTCAGCAATCAAATCAATAAGTGACTGGAAGCCAATATCTATCCATCGTAGCAGTGTCTATCAATCAATACTATCAGTCCAATCAATAGTGTCGTCTAGTCAATTCGTTGTATCTATATCATCTGTCGAATCAATAGAATGTAACATCAATTAATTCAATAAAGGACTCGTGTCAGAACGTACTCTTGCAAATCGGTCAATCCAATTATTCAATACGATTTACTCGATATCAATATACAATATTCAATGACACTACGGCCGTAAGGACGGTTCAATAATGACGACGTACGATGCTACAATAGGGAAATCATCTCAATCAATAGAGCACTTTCCAGTCAATTATATC